AGGCTAGGCTACCGATTGGCCAAGGAGTACACTATCGCCTATTCGTACTCGGTTGGCGCATTCAGAATGGCTTTACCGACCGTATGGGAGAAGATTTGGAGGCAGAGGGAAGATTTAACTATTGAGGTGCAAAGTTTTAACATAATACCGATATTTTCGACGAGGTTTGTTATCATTGGTGACAAATTTTTCGACTTCACACCGTACCACAGGCGGTATTGGGTTTCGTCAATGTGTACTCATACCTTCCTGACTTTAATCGGTCCCGTGTTCGCGTAACTTCCGTTTTAGTCTCCTCCAATATGCTAATATGACGTTGGCATTCTTCTTCTCCGTGGTGGGATCCACAAAATTGGAGGAGTGTTTGACGGTCAGATGACGATAGCCTTCCTCTGGCAGACGGGCATACGTCTTCCACTGGTCCGTCACAGTTGCATTGGCAGGTGCTACCCATTTCTTTATAACGACTCTCAGGAAGGCCCAGCTTCGATCGTTGACTTGTTCGAAGATAGCCTTCCTTGTGCTTGTATCAGAAATGCCTAGAAATGGCCATCGATTCGGAAATCCTTACCCAAAACCCTGTACTGCGTCTTTACGCGCCCAACGTTTTACTTCCGTCTTGTTATCATGGTCTCATCCACTTGGACTTCTACGTCCGGTCCTCCTAACTGGTTCATCTCCAAGAGGAGGGCTGTAGTGCAGACATCCCGCCAGATATCATAGCACTCCACAGCAGCATTTCTACTAATGCCGACCAACGCGGCACATCTGATTACGCCTGTTCCCAGCAGAAAGGCGAGGGTGGTTCTTACTGCCATCGGCAGAGTCAGATGGCTTCCTGTAAACACTAAACCTGTTCTTATTGCGCAGCCGTGCTACGTGGGACATGTTTTTCTTTGGTTTTTTGCCGTTATTTCAGCTCAGGAAAGCTTCCCTAATTACCCCTGAAAACATAATCTTTTAAATTGCTGTCGTTTGTCCTCCTACCCCCCCTCCCTTTACCCCACCCTATAGGCACCCCATTCCCACCGGTCCCGTCGAACAGTGAACTACCGGGTGGCTTCCAATTCGAAGGATACGAACTGCGATCTGACCCCAACAACTTGCCAAACTCCCACGCTAACTATTACGTTTCGCCGTAGAGACGGTCTGTAGTGGCCTATGCTGGAAGAAGAAGACGAAAGGAACCTGAATATGGTGTTTAATGCATACAAAGCCTAGAGTTGTCCTCTCAGGCGGCAGTGGCCACCGGCGAAGCCAGGGTTGATGTTGAGTGCGTCCAGTCATGCCTGAGAGTCCTTGGAACAGTGGTTGCAGCAACTTTTGTAGGCTCGTAGGCCAAGCTCAATTGGTCTCCAATGGGTGTGAGTTACATTTACCGAGGGATGGTGTTCTAGTGGCTTAGGTCATGGTTGCAGGTGTGAGGTACGTTCAAGTGGCCTCATGGGCAGCTGCGGCTGTGCGGACGCAGGTATGCCCGAGTTGTCGGTCGTGTGACCTCGGGTGAGCGCTTCTGGAAAGGCCTACTGCAAAAAGGACGAATGACCTTGAGACAGCGAGGTCTTTAACAATGACGTCAGACCGCGCATGATGACTAGCCGCCACAGATCTTTAAAATTATCCTGCCCGTTTTCTTAAATGTAAGTCTCCCTTCATATTTTTTCAGCATTCCTCAGAAGCCTGCTTTCACAAATCCTTCTGTATTTCCGATTCCGCAAAATAGTATTCCTTCCTATGCATCCTACCTCAACTGGTCTCTGTGCAATAACGCATTTATAGCTAACGATAATATTTCCATAAATGAAAGATCCCAAAAATTTTTCATACAGCCTCTTACTTCTTCCCAACAGTTTGCTATTCCTCGATCAGCTGTTTTTTAGGAATCCGCTCAGTATTATCCCTCTCAATGGGAGGTCTGTCATCCATGAGATGGTCCAGCTAGCTTCTGTTTTTGATTAAGACATTTATTGCAGTTTCTAATCTTTGACTCCACCCTCGATATCGATAATATCAACTTATACCGACCAGACTGCACTGAAATGCTTCTTTGGCATTGACCCAGTGATTCGTATCGACAAGATGTGTGAGAATAGAACTCGAAATCAATTTCTTTTTACTTCTACCTAGTCAGGCCGGTATGTGTTCACGTAATATTTTTTTCCAGGCGTCTCGTTGTACGGCCAATGTATCCTGCTCTACAGGAGCAGGTGAATGAGTAAATACACATCGCTGTGGCTTGCAACGGTAATCGGTCCTTACCTCCCAAGCGTAGGAGGGGAGAGTTCGTGAAACATATGCGCAAATTCGTCGCGGGGAAAGCTCTAGTGATGGCTGTCTTCAGAAGCCTTAGATAGATAGATAATTTTTATTAACGACCCGTCGGGGTCCAATCAAAGCAAGTTAAAATAAATTTGCATGCTAGTTTTATACGAAATAGGCCGAATCTTTACAAATACAATTCATAGTTTCTGAATTAGAAGTCCATTGAGAAACATGATGATTGAGGGGTGAAAAAAAACTCCTTACTAAAAGTTAAAAATGATTGGATTGATTTTACAGGAGAAAAAAAACCCCTCCAGAAAAATAATGATAGAAAAAAGCGAGCAGGACTGGCCTGTAGGTGGCGGTATATAACGGAATGTTGTCGGTCATCGTCAGGGTAGCAATAAATGTCAGCCTTGATGGGTACGAATATGGGTCAGCCAGGACTGGCTTGCATATGGCA